TATGCCACACTTCCCTATCTTGCTCTAGACTGTCAATTCCTTGCAAGTAGAAGTTGGGTTTTACACTACTTTGTATTTCCTGGCAGTCCTTGGCATTTGATGCATGTAATACTTACTCAGTTGACCGTCAATAAATAGCTCTGACATCAATCAATGCGTACCATCCAAATGACTTTGCTTGGAACCAGGAACCAGGTACAGCAAGGCTTGGAACAACATCAAAGGTTAAACGTGTCAGGCACCTTGGAGCCTCTACCATCTTATTGCCATACTCTTATCCTCAGGGATGTCAGGAATTGGTTAAATAAGCAAATCTATAGATTGGGAGGGACGTTTTAGCTAAAGATCTGTATCTGAGTCAGAAATGCATATAGAGTTGAAGTCATGAGAGTAGAAAATATCTAGACTGTATAGAGAGTAAGAGAAGAGAGAGAACTAGGATACCAGTATTTAAGAAGCATGAATATTTAAGCCTATGAGTTTAAAAATTATAGCCAAGGGATGCCTGAGTAGCTCAGTCATTAAGCCTCTGCCTTTGGGTCAGGTCATTATCCCAGGGTCCTGGGATCGAGTCCCGAATCAGGTTCCTTGCTCAGGGGGAGCCTACTGGGTCATTTCCCCTGCTTGTGCTGTCTCCCTCTCTGAAAAAATAAATAAATAAAATCTTTTTAAAAATAAATAAAAAATAATAAAATAAAATTATAGCCAAGAAGGGGTACATAAGCCATAAAGAGCCAGTGTTGATATGGAAAACAAGAGCAGAAACTTTCAAGAAAGAGGGAAGTTCCGTAGAAACTTTTCTGCAGATAGGTAAATTTAAGGCTAGAAGTTATTAGCTTTAGTAACATGGAGGCCAAATTGGTGACTTTGACAGGAAAATATAAACAATGAACAAAGATAAACTACCTGATTTCAAGATTTACTCTAAAGCTATAGTAATATGATATTGCAATGATAGATTAGTGGAAAGAAGAGAGCTTAACAATAGACCTACATGATTGACTTTCAACAAAGGCGCCAAGGGAATTCATGAGGGAAAAGATATATTTTTGTAACAAATTGTGGTGGCACACCTGGTTATCTGTATGGGGGAAAAATGATTCCTCAATCATTACCTCATATCATATGCAAAAGTTAACTTGAAATGAATCACAGACCAAAATATAAGAGGTAAAAAAAAAAATTAAACTTGTAGAAGAAAACAGGAAAATTATTTGGGTCACTAGGTTAGACAAAGATATCTTAAATATGCCACTGGAAACAAAAATTAATAAAATAAACATCAAAATTTAAAACATTTCACTCTTTGAAACACACAGTTCAAATGAAAAGATAAGTCAGAGTCAGGCAAAGATTTGTAGAACACATCTAACAAGGAGCTTATAGCTGGAAGAAATAAAGAACACTTATAATTTAATAACATGAAGATAAACAACCCAATTAAATTTGGCCAGAAAAAATTGGAATTTCACAAAAGAGGATATATGAATGGCCCATATGCACATAAGATTCTTCACGTTTTCAGGAAAATGCAAATAAAGCCACAAGGAGATATCACTGCATGTCTACTAGAATGGCTAAAATAAAAAAGACTGACAATAATACGTTTTGGTGATGATGTAAGGTAATTGGAACCTCCACATACTGCTGGTGGGAACACAAAATGTTTCTATGCCCTTGGAAAAGAGTGTGGCAGTATGTGAAAAAATTAAACATATGCTGACATATGAACCAGCAACCTTGGATAAACATCTATCCAAGAGAAATGAAAATGTATGTCCACCTGAAGGCCTGTGTCTAAGTATTCATGGTTATATTTTCATATAACCAAAATGTAAAAACAATCTTATTTTTCATCAACTGATCAAAAAAGAATTACAGTATATTAATACTATGTCATACTATTCTGCAATGAAAAGGAACAGAGTATTAATATACACAAGATAAATAAGTCCTAAAAACATGTGCTAGGTAGAAAGTCAACACAAAGACTCCATACTGAATGGTCCCATTTATAGAAATTCTAGAAAAGGCAAAGACATCGTGAAAGGAGGTCTGTCAGCTGTTGTCTGGGATCAAGGTAATCTGAGAGGGTTAATTACAAAGGAACATAAGGAAACTTGAGGGTGAAGGGACTTTTCTATATCTTGATTATGGTAGAGTTTATACAGCTATACACAATTACTGAAATTCACCTTTTACACTTACAAGGAGTGGATTTTATTATATGTAAACTATACTTCAATAAAGGGGAAAAAAAGTCAGAAGTTAAAACGGAATTGAGTCCTTAGCTATATTTCTGAGGACATAATCAAGATATTTAGCATAGTGTGTGGGATCAAGTGAGCAGTCCAGAATAAAACCGATTACTCCAGAGTAAAATCTTACCCTCATCTAGTGTGTAGTACCAGGTTGTGCAACTGTTAACAGAACTTAGAGCTGTACACACATTTGTGCAGTAAGGTCAAAATGTAGTTCCTTCAAAAAAAATTTGAAAGTTCATTGCATGGGCATATGGGGTGCCTGGCTGGTTCAGTCAGAGGAGCGTCTGACTCTTGATTTGGGGGTCGTGAGTTCAAGCTCCTGTGGTGCATTAAATAAATAAAACTTCAAAAAATGTACATTTTATGGGCACTTAAAATTGAGATTACTGAACTATGTGAGTGCTAGCTTAAACTTGAAACTCTTTTTTCTCCCCCCAAAGAAATGCCGTTCTTGGGGCACCTGGGTGGCTCAGTGGGTTAAAGCCTCTGCCTTTGGCTTAGGTCATGATCCCAGGGTCCTGGGATCGAGCCCCACATCAGGCTCTCTGCTCAGCAGGGAGCCTGCTTCCCCTCCTCTTTCTCTGCCTGCCTCTCTGCCTACTTGTGATCTCTGTCAAATAAATAAATAAAATCTTAAAAAAAAAAAAGAAATGCCATTCTAGGTAGACATATTGTCAAGTTTTTCTAATGTAAGATCTTCGAAGCAAATGTACTATTTTCATATGTAAATTTGTGTCATATATAATCATTCTAAGCTATTTAAGGACATTTAGGGGATTCTTAAAAGGAAGCTTACACCAAAATCAAATGTGTTTAAGAGACACTCAAATAATTTAGCTCACATTCCATAGTTTAGGTGGCCTTAGGGAATCAAAAATGTCTCAACAGTCAAAATCTACCACGATGTTCATATCCATTACACACCACTAGGCGACTGTGCAAAGATATACATGAGGTGACACTGGAGTCATTAAAGATTAAAACAGACCGTATTTATTGATATGGAGTAATTTCTAAAATACATTAATATTTTGGTACAGAACACCTCTGGAAGGATCTACAGGAAATTAGACACTGTGCTTGCCTCTAGATGCAAGAATTGTGCTTGGTCATTTAGAAATAGAAAGGACATTGACTTTTTCATTCTCTATGTTTTTTGTACTAGTTTACCTTTTTTATTAACTACATGAAAATCCTACCTTAAAAAATAAGTAACTTAAGAATAACCACTGATTTAAACATATCAAATATATGTGAGATAGATGTATCACTTAATTAGGGTGGGTGGGATCCTTGAGAGGACTGATTGCATTTATTTAGGGTTCCCCTTGCCTAGAAATTTATATATAATAAGTGTTCCACAAACATGACACTTCTCTAAAAGTTCAACTTGATTCAAAGCGTTTTGTTTTTCGTGAAATGTTGAAAAACCAAAATTATAACTTCAGAAAAAGCACAAAAATTCCAAAATATTTCTAATTTAAATCTAATTATAAAATATGGCATAACGTTGGGGGCGCCTGGGTAGCTCAGTGGGTTAAAGCCTCTGCCTTCAGCTCAGGTCATGATCCCAGGGTCCTGGGATCAAGCCCCACATCTAGCTCTCTGCTCCGTGGGGAGCCTGCCCCCTCCTCTCTTTCTGCCTGCTTGTGATCTCTGTCTGCCAAATAAATAAATAAAACCTTTAAAATACGGCATAATGTAATAAATGCTAGACTAATAAACCAAAGTTTCATAGCCAATCTTAGAAAAATCTCTTCACTACTCTGGACTTGTTTTCTATAAAACAATAAAATAATAATAGCACTGCATATGTGGGAGAGGTGGGAGTATAAACATTTTAGATACTAAGGAGTTTGGACAGATAAAATTCTCTGTAATTTTTTTTTATTTTAAAAAGTTTTATTGTGATATAATTCACATACCATAGAATTTATCTATTTAAATTGCACAATTCAACAGTTTTAGGAAATTGCAGTTTTGCAACCATCAACAAAATCAACTCGAGAACATTTTCCTCATCCACCCACTCCCCCCAAAAAACCATCCCATTAGCAGTCATTTTCCCTTCTCCCTCCTCAACCTCCCCTCCTCTACCCCAAGTCCCATAGTCCTTGGCAACCCTGAGTCTACTTTCTGCTTCTATATAAATTTACTTATTTGGAACTTTTTACATAAATTGAATCATATATGTAATCTTTTCCAACTGGCCTCTCACTTAGCATGCTTTCAAGGTTCATCATATTGTAACAGGTTATCAGTACTTCCTTTTCTTTTTATTGCCAATATTCCATTGTATTGATATATCACATTTTGCTTATTCATTCACCAGTTGATGGACATTTGGATTGTTTCCACTTCGGGGCTATGAATATTTGTGTAAAGTTTTTGGATGGATATATGTCTTCATTTCTCTTGGGTGTATTTTTGGGAGTGGATCTGCTGGATCATACGGTAACTATGTTTAACTATTTGAGGAATCACTTATTTCCAAAATGGGTGCCCCATTTTACATTCCAATCAGTAGGTTATTTCTGGTAGGAATGCAAATTTCTCCAGACCCTCACCAACACTTGTCTTTATGACTCTGTCTGGCTGTCCTATTGGGTGTAAAGTAGTATCTCATTGTGATTTTGATTTGTATTTTTCTGATAAATAATGAATTTGAGTTTTTTTCATGTGTTTATTGACCCTTTGTACATCTTCTCTGGAGAAATATTTACTCAGATATTTTATTCACTTTTGTCTTATTATTGTAAGAGCTTTTTAGACATGTGTCTCTATTCAAGAGTCAATTATCACATTCACCATTTAAAAATATTTTCTACTCTTTAATGGTTGTCTCCTCATTCTGACAGTATCCTCTGAAACACAAAAGTTGTTAGTTTCGATGAAGTACAATGTATTTACTTTTGTTGTCTAAGCTTTCGGCGTCTTATCTAAGAAATTATTGCTTAATCCAAAGTCGCAAACATTTATGCCCATGTTTTCTTCTAAGAATTTATAGTTTGCAACCAGATCTTTGATCCATTTTGAGTTAATTCTGCATATTATACAAGGTAGTGTTCAAAATTCATCCTTTTGCATATAGATATCCAGTAGTGCCAATAGAATTTGATGAAAGAAATTGTTTCCCCGTTGAGTTGTGTTGGTACTCTGGTTGAAAATCAATTGTACATAAATGTTAGAGGATTTATCTTTCCCCTCAAGTCTATCCCATTGATCTATATGTGTGCCTTGATGCCGCTACAACATATTCTTCTTTACTGAAAACTTGTAGTAAGTTTTGAAATCAGAATCAGGAGAGGCAAGTCCTCCCATAATTTTTTTTTTTAATTGTTTTGCCTATTTTCTGTCCCTTAAATTTCCATAATCATTTTAGAATCAGCTTGTCCATTTGTGCAAAGAAATCAGCTAAAATTGATGTAGACGGCCTTGACTCTATAAATTAGTTTGGGAAATATCTTAATATCAAGTTGTTTGATTCAGGAACATGGGATGTCTTTTCATTTATTTAGGTTTTCTTTCTTTCAACAATATTTTGTAGTTTTCAGAGTGTACATTTTGCACTTCTTTCGTTAAACTCGTTCCAAAGTATTTTATCCTTTCTGATGCTATTTTGAACAGAATTTTCTTAATTTCATTTAGTATTATTCATTGTAGATGTAAGATATAATTGATGTTTGTATATTGATCTTGTAACCTGCAATCTTGCTGAATCATTTATTAGTTCTCATAGTTTCTAGTGGGTTTGTTAGAATTTTGTATATAAATACTTTGTCATCTGCAAATAGCAAGTTTTACTTTTTACTTTCCAGTCTGGTTACCCTAGACTTTTTGAATGTCAAATAAACTAATGCACAATTTAATATTTAGATTTATTGAAGTCCACATAGTACAAAAATCTTTTAAAAGGAAAAGAAAAAAAGTGCTATGGAAAAAAAGGAAAACAGAAAAGGCAATAAATTAGGGGGCAAGAATTCTGGTTCCCATACCATTATTAATTAGTTGTGTGATCCTGAGCAAATTTCTAAGTCTCTTATCATTCTATATTCTATATTGAAAATCTTTCATTTGGCATACCTGTGATTCCTGGGGTTATGTAAGAAATAGCTTTCCTCAAGTTTTTCAGCCATTACAACTATAATTTTTACTGATTATACTGAGAATCTTCCTCCTTTTCCATTTTTGCCCTTCACAAAGAGAATAAGGTTACCAACACTAGAAGAGCACACTAATTTTATCTTCATATTAAGAGAAAATGAAACTCTCAGGAAAGGCACAACAGAAGACACTGAGGGAGTGTAGGCAATTACAAAGAATTATCCTCATGGTAACAAGCTTAACTATAAATGAAAACTTTAGAGGTTTGTGGAAGAAATGAACAAAAGTGAGCAAATGGATGAAACATTTACTCTAGTACTGTACTAACATTTTAAAACTTTAAAGAAAAATTAATAAAGATATAAAAAATGGCAAAAGTATGTTTTAAAAATATACATTATCCTAAGTTTTAAACACAAGGATCACCTTTTAAAACCAAAGTTTCAGACAACATTTTTAATTATAAATTTAATTAAAATGGAAAAGGTGTCTCATGATACACAGAACCACATTACATTTTTATGCCAAATGTAGAGATTCTGCCTCTGCTAGTGCTGATGGTCCTAAGATACTAAGTTATACTTAAATATTTTTAATTCCAGTTCAAGAATTTTGGAACCTTAGTTTTAATCTTTGCCTTAAAGGAAGAAGACTATCCAGAGAAGTTCCAGAGTCACCTCTGTCCTTATGACACTGTAGAAAATTCAGAGAACTTTTAGCTGCATCTGGGAAACAGTCCTCTTCATTTCCAGCTGTTTTATAAGCCTGGACACACTGTTCAGTTTCTTCAATATATATTTTAGAGTTATTCAACTTGTTGGCATCATCTTTCTTGAATGGGGCTGGGTTATGCTGCTGAGAACTAGGCTTCATTTTCTGAGTTGTGTTTTTAGCTTTCTCAAACACAGAGACACTCTCTTCATCAGAGGAATATCTGTCAAGGCAAACGCTTTTCTTCATTACACTTTTCTGAGTGGTTTGCACATCACCTTTTCTACTATGATCTAAAGCAGTATTTGATGGTCCAACTCTAACATTGGAGGTCTTTACTATTGGGTTATTGACAGAGTAAGATTTAGAAGTATTAACTTTATAGTTTTCTTGAAATAGCTGATCTCCTTTTATAACTTTAGATTGTCTAGATTCATTTTGCAAATGAATTCCTAGAAGATCCTTTGAAGGATGTGATGGACAATCAGAACCACTCTTAGCAATAAAAGATTCTTTTGTGGTACCTAGGGACGGAGTTTTCAGGTCAACATTTTGTTGTGCATTATCCTGAGGATAGGATGATTTTATACGTATTCGTTCCTTTAAAGGCAAATCCTGAAGATGTAAATGAGTAATGCCAGAAAGTAGATGCTCTTCAGGATTAGTCTTTTGAAGATCCTGATCCAATACTTTATTAATGTTTGTGGTACCCCATTCTGATTTACATGATAATTCTTCTGGGAAATTTTTAAAATTTTCAGGGATGGCTGTTTCAAGTTCTGATTTTAAACCATGAGGGGAAGTGTTCCTTGGAATAGCTGGTGAATTACTGAAAGAAGTACCTTCCCAGTCAATGGTGCTTAATTGTAGATCAGCAATCGCTGATAGTTTATGGGATGAGGTACTAGGTTGACTAGCTTCTGGAATTAGAGACTTACTGACAGCTGTAACTTGCTGCAGAGCCAAAGGTCTTGGAGAAGACATTAAATGCTCTTGTGTATTCAAACAGGGAGTATCTTCAGGTAAAATCAAGCTACTCAATGATGCAGAAATAGATTTCTGGGGTAATGCACAATCAGGGGTAATTTCCAAATTTAACTTGGAATTCTGCATAGAAAAGACTTCACATGCGGGGTTTAAAGTCATCTGTGACTGGAAACTCATCACATTATCTGATTCTGGCCAACTGTTTTCTTTAGACTTAATTTTCATGCCTGAAAAGAATAAAAGACAATACTATTAAAATCTAGTTTATTTTCCTTAACTTGTGTAAACAAATAAAAAAGAGTCCAGATCAGAAATCTTCTGTATGAGTAATTTTTATTTTTGTCTTTCTTGTCTCAGTGCATTCCTGAAACTGTTATAACAACATAATTCTTAATAAAATATTATAAAATATTTTCTCTTGGAAACAATGTTATAATTGAATTTGTTTTCCTCATCAAGTTCTAGGAAATAAAGAAAATGTGTTTATAATTCAAAACATGTCATGCATACTAGTTGCTCAACAAGCAATAGTAAAGTTACTATTAACACTTAGTTAAGTTAGCAGACACAGAGCAGAACGGTTTACTTGTGGCTTGAAAAAGACAAAGGAGCAAGAGGAAATTCCTAACTCTTGGTTTTATAGAACTTTCAACAAAATTTGGGCAAGATAAAATTCCAATAGAATAGGTAACTCTTCTTTGACATTTGGGTGTGGTACAAATAGCTAGCAAATGCGACACTTACTTTTTTGTTTCTTCCCTTTCAGTGCTAAGTTTTGTTTTTGATAAACAGCAACAATCTCAGGATAAGCTGCTTCAAACAATGATTCTTCTTCTATTGTTTGTAGAACCATTTCTCCATGTTTATCCTCCATAGCATAATGTTCTAAAAGATCAAAAATACAACAAAAACAAAAAATTGCAGATTTGTAAATTTCAATTTTTCTAGGTAAAATTAAGGTTACCAAGTAAGCAAAGTCATGTGCAAATTGATAATTCATTACAGATCTTGCTTTATAACATCTCTGTTTTAATACTAGTTGATACTAGTTGATAATGCTAGATAATACTAGCTGATACTAGTTCACTGTTTTAATACTAGTTGATACTAGTATAGAATTGATTTTCTTCTGCCTGGCAAGACCTGGAAAAAGATTCCTTTCAAAATGAGAACTTTAAATTCTCTTGATCTAAAGATGGTACCTACAGGATAGAACACTTTGCTTAGATAAGGTTGGTTGCTTTTAATTTAGTATAATGAGTGTTAAAATTCCAGATAAAGATTGGGAATAAACAGTTTCTTAGAACTCCAACATTAACTTTCTTTATTGATGGTTCCTCAAAAGAACAGAATTGAGGATACATCCAGGTACGCTGGATTCATAAGCAGCTACTAAATGAAAATGAGAATGCTTGCATGTAAATTTATAATGTGATATATAAATAGACTAGATCCTTACGTTTATCCTACATATGGGAAAAATCGCATGAGAAGCTACACTATAATGAAATATTAGTGAATGAGTTTAAAGTACAAAAAATGGAAACATTAACTTACAGTGTTTCGTAGTTAAACTGGCTAGGACTACATTTTCTTCCTTAAGAAATAGCACCCACAAAGGACAATGCTCTCTTCTTTTCTTTTTCTAATAAATTTTATATTTTAATTTGACACAGAGAGAGAGAGAAGGCAGAAGTAGGGGGAGTGGCAGAGGGATAGGGGGAAGGAGGCTCCCCACTGAGGAGGGAGCCTGAAACGGGGCTTGATCTAGGACCACAGGAAATCATGACCTGACCCACAGGCAGACGCTTACCCAACTGAGCCACCCTGGCGCCCCTGGCAATGCTCAGTTCTGAACAGAGATGCACTACCAAACTGAGTTAATGCGATTTTCTTTCCTGAAAATATACGACAGTTGGTGGAACTGTTGCTAAACATCCTCAAAATTCTTCAGCTTTCTGTTTTCTTAGTATTGCTTAGAATGGTTTATCTAATTCCAATAATTTCATTCTTCAAAATTACCTATAACTTAAACTTTGACAAATCTACAGCCTCACTCATTCACTTATAATCACACAATCTAATTTCAAAGGCAAATAAAAATGAATTTGGAATTACTTTCCATTTTAAATGATCTGTGCTTTCCTTGCCTTCAGTTTGGGAGCTAATTCAGAGTTCACTGCATTTTTGCCTGCAGCAACATAAGAGTAATTTGACAACTATAAATTCTCATGAAAATGAAACAGAGTAAAGAAAGGAGAACATTTGCAGCAGCATTTTCTTCAGAAATATGGACCAAAACTACTTCCATATTACATTCTTAAACATTAATTATAATAGAAATGTCAATTTAAGATATTAAGATAAAATTAAAGTTTTTAATATTTACTATTAGTCAAAACTTATTTAAATAGCACAGGTAAACTACAAAATCAATCCTCAGTGCATGTGATATGTCTCTTTCCCTCCCTCACGAAGAGAATAAGGTTACCAACATGTTTTACATATGTATATCATATTTGCTAAACATATGTGGTTAAATGTTACAAACTTTGCTTAGAGTAAATACATACCAGGCCTTTCCCATTCTATTTCAAAGCAATGAATTCCATTTCTTTTCCGCGTTTTAACGATTCTGAAAAACAAATTCTTCCAATGAGGTCTAACTGCAGGAGTTATTTTGAAATTTTCAATTTGTAGACTGAATTATTAACTTTTCATTGACTTTTGTTCTATTTTCATAATATTCTAAAGATACTTAGAGAATTATGGCACAGTTATTCTTTTGAATAGTTTATTCAAAAGATAATTTTATTGTTAGGTGCACAGAGTTGATAATGGTGATATCCTATCAGTAGATTTCATTATTAATCAGCATTCCTTTCCTCCATAATAATAATTTTTCTTCTGAAGTCTATTTTGTTTCTGTTAATTTTGCTATATCACTTTGGTAAATATTTACATGGTAATCTTTTAAATCTTTTTATTTTCAAATTTTGTGTAGTTTTATTCTGCACATGCCTATACATAGCAGAATATTGATGAATTCTGTTTGTTTGTCCTATATAAGGCCTTTTAATAGATGAGTTTAATCCACTTATATTTATTGTTGATCACTGATCTTGCTGGATGCTTTTATACAATTTATTTTGTGTTTTCTGTCACCCAACTTTTTCTTTGCTATGTCCCCCTTCCTCCTTCCTGTACTCTTTTAGTTTGACAGTCTTACTTCCTACTTTATGTATTGGTTTCAAAGATAGAGATTGTCCTTCTGGGGTTTTAGTGGTTACCGTTCATTGTTTACATTGTTTACGTACATTGTTTACATGTTTACATACATTGTTTACATGCATACTCTGGAAGTTTTAGTTTATTATCATCATTGTATATTAATCATCAAGCATTATACAGCTATTTATATATGTGTTTTTCCAGTTAGTTTATTAAATGAGCTAAATACATTTATTCATTTCTCTTTATTGGTTGACTACTGTTTTTTGTTATCTACATCATCCCTCTGGGTTCATTTTTCTTCTGGCTTAGGTACCCCCTTTAAGAGTGCTTTTAATGAGGATCCATGATTTATTCACCAACCAGTAAATAAGGCTTAAATGATGTTTAGGCTGCCAATTATTTTTACTCAAAGCTTTGAAACGTGACTCTAGCATTTTGTCATGAAAAATGTATGCTATCAGATTGTCATTCCTTTGTAGTTTATCATTTTTCTTTGATACTTACTCCCCAACTTTTAGTTTGTAAGTTTTTAAGTCTTTAGAAAAGTTTCAAGAATGGCACAATGAACACTCATATATACCTTTTGCTGAGTTTTACAAATTCCCAGTTCCTGTGCCTCCACTTTAGATCTTTGTACCCTTTCTGGTTCATTGAAATAGTTCTATGGTTAAGCTTGGCTATATCATTTTATATTTATTTCTTTTAATAATCTGTTGTTATTACTATTTGAAGCGGAAAAGTATGTGAAGACATGAACTTACTGTTATCTTGAATGTAAACCATGAATAAACTTTGAATATTTCATACTAGACCTTTACTCCATTTTTATATAACAAAGAGCCATATATCCCACTACTAAGAGTATTAAGATTATTAAAGGTATTAATTAGATTATTATATAGATCGTAAGATACTTAAATGGAAACACAGAGACTTCTTTGTACAATTCTTCATATTACCGAATTGGCTGTAGTTGATTAGAATTCCTTCTACCAAGCTTTCTTTCTATCATGTCATAGTGGGTCAAAAGCACTAACAATTTCTCACATGCATAGTGATTGGGCCATTCCATTTTTTCAAGAGTAAATCTCTGTAAATATAAAACAAATAAAACAAGATTTTGTTATCTCTTAGAGACAAACAGCCCTCTCAGGTAATATCAGTTTTTTCTTACAGAATTAACATTAGTTAAAATAGTATCAATGAGCGTATTCCCAGGAAGAACAATAAGCCTCCTAAGGAGGCAATGTTGCATAAAGAGTAAGTGTGAGACTTGTCAGTTTGAACCCCAGTATGATTATTTCCAAGATGTTGGGTAAATTACTTAATTTCTTTTAGCCTCAGGATTTCCATCATAACATATATCCCAACTCAGAGATTATAAAGATTAAGTGAGGTTACATGTAATGTGTTAAATATGATAGCTAATTTTAATGTTCAATAAATGCTGGTTGCATTAGTATTACTGTTGTTGGTAGGGATAGGCAACAAGTACTTACAATTTATTAAACTACTCTGTTTCCCTAACCACTATATTAGGGGTTACTATAAATAATCTCATTTAATCTTCATAGTGACTTCATAAAGTAGTATTATTTCTCTTTTGAGGATAACACATATACAAGGTCACATAGTAGGTGACAGACAGTCCAAACTTAAAGTTAGTTCACTGATTAAAAATCCCAATGCTGACATAGCATAATGTATAAACTTATCAAATCACCAAGTTGTACACCTGAGACTAATGTAATCTTGTGTGTCAACTATACCAAAAAAAAAAAAAAAATTTCCATTGCCCTTGTAAACTTTTATAACAACAAATTTATTTCTCACATTCTCTGGGTATTACGCCCTGCCCCCAATATCTTCCTAAATACAATGAATCTGTACATGGTACATAAGGTGTCTTCTAAAGGGCATAATTATGGTTTGTCTTGTGGTCTGAGAAGTATGGTTCTTACGTGGCAAAGGAATGAAGATCAGAAATAAATGCTGAAAAATATATGTGCAGTCAAAGAGTCAAAGCTGTTTTAAATCTCCTCTCAGACCAAAGTGATTATCCCTTCTTATCTTCCTAGTACACAACTACATAGTATAAAGTAAGTATTTATTTTCCCATACCTGAAACAACAATAAATCAGGTCTTTGGTACCTGATTACTTTCACCAATTTATCCTTGTTCAGAAGGAATTCTTGAATAACCTAGCAAGAGAAAATAAAATAGAAATTCAGCCTTCAAACTTTTTAAAAGAACTTCTGAAATAAGACATACATTTGAATTATTAGCTATTACCTCATGGAATGGGAATCCCTCACAACTGCAAGCTTTTCTGAAAATAAATTATATACATGTTGTTAATATCATCAGGCAATTTTAGACTGTAAATTCATTTCATCCAATCTCTGCTGATTTAATGAAAAATGCCCTTGGATAATATCCCAGTCATCAAACTTCTCTTTGAATAACTACTAAATCACTGTCTTCTGAGACTGCCTAAAGTCTGACCCGAATCAAAAAAGATTTTGTGAAATGTTACCAATCTAGACATGGGGGAAGGGTATGTGGAAATAATTCAACTAGAGGTGTATAAATAGGTCAGGACAGAAAAAAAAGAGTCAAAAGAAAGAACTTACTTCTTAATGCTGTTCTCGATGGCACTCAGTTGTCTGTCATGCCCTGTACGGTGCCACTCACAAGGACAACAGTATTCATAATCATGTGGTTTACAATACTGATTAGTTTTACAGAGTTTGCATCCATTACGTACATGATCCTTAGATGAACCTTTATGGAAACACAAAGAAGTATGATTTTCACTGCTTTTTGATTTACCTTCTATATCATTTTTTTTGCCCTATCCAAATTTTTAAAAATGAACTTGGTGAAGTCCTTAGCATATAGAAAGGTTCCAATACATTTAGGTTGAATAGAATAATGATGCATACTATAATAACTCTTAAGACAACGTAGATCCTGAGCTCTTACGTGACACTTTTTTGTTGTTTCTATAGTATATTCTTCTATCTGAAACTGTTAATTTGTAACTAGAAATTATAATTTTACAATACTCAACAATAGAAAACTTTGTGGTGTATTTGGTAACTACATGCAAGAAAAATAGGATGTAATCACTAACATTAAAAAGGATTATTTATGGGATGCCTGGGTGGCTCAGTTGGTTGAGTATCTGCCTTCAGCTCAGGTCATAGCCCCAGGGTCCTGGGACTGAGCCCCACATTGGGTTTTCTGTTCAGCAGGGAGTCTGCTTCTCTCCCTAACTCTCCCTCTGTGCTTATCCTCACCTCTCTCAAATAAATAAATAAATAAATACAATCATAAAAGAAAAAGATTCTTTACTTAACAGAATAATTCATGAAATGGTTTCTTTAATGAGAATATTAAAAGAATATAACAGTTAATTACCTCTGCTAGTATCTAGCCCTCAGTAAACTTCACAGCTACTTTTAAACTGTGGTTGGAACATGAATGAATTAAGACTATGCACAGGTGTAGGGCCCTAGTTCCCTTTTGAAGGAAAGCATGACCACCTTTAACATTGTTTTGAGAATACAGAAGAGCACACATAACTGACAGGAACTAAAACTGTCATTTATAAAGTATCAAAAAACTACAGAATTGAATTCTCTAAAGTATCCTATAAAAACATTTATATCGTCCATGATTTCATCTGCAATTTAATAATGCTTACGAACATATACTGATACAAATAGAAAAAGAATTTCTTTTATTTTTAATTTTTATTGTTATTTTTTAAAGGTCTTATTTATTTGAGAGTTAGAAAGAGCACAAACTGAGGGGAGAGGAGGTAGAGGGAGAGAGAGAAGCGGACTCCCCATGGGTGGGAAGCCTGACACAGAGCTCAATTCCAGGACCCTAAGATCATGACCTGAGCCAAAGGCAGATAGATGCTTAACCATCTGAGCCACCCAGAAACCCCAAGAATTTCTTTTAAAGGATGAGCTAATAAGATCTCCTACTTTCTCCTGGGGGCGAAATGTGCTTCTGATCTAGTACACACTAATGACATTTTTTTTTTTTTTTTACCAAGACTAGTGAAGAGGAACCAAGTTATTTTCAATAATAATAAACATGTATTAGAAATTAATAGTGTTATTTTTAAAGATTTTATTTATTCATGGAGGAGAGAGATCACGAGCAGTGGGGAGGGTAGAGGGAGAAGCAGACTCCCTGCTGAGTAGAATGCCTGACGTAAGACTCATTCCGGGACCCCAGGATCATGACCTGAGCTGAAGGCAGGCGCTTAACCAACTGAGCCACCCAGACACCCTAGAAATTAGTTTTAAGTCACTTTTTTTTATGCAAATAAAAATAAATGGTTTTAGTTTGATTTCCCCCTAAGATTTAGCATTATGACATTTCTTTTTTTGTTTAAATGGATTTCTATATTGAAAACATAATTTTAACGTCTACATAATTTGGTATCATAGTTTGAAATTGCACTTGCCCTGTGCTTATTGTTTACATCATATTATTTCATTCAAATAACATCTATTGAGAGTCTATTGTGCATATGAGACACAACTCCTGATACTGAGGATTTTCAATCTACTGAGGAAGAGTATGTAACAAGTATTATAAGAACAGGATGACAATGCGGGTATCAGACAGTAATGTTCTAGAGTTTTCATTCCCTACATCTGCTTACCTGGATGGGAACACACAGAACAATGGGCCGGTGTTTTAATAGCTAGTGGTTGTGGATCAGAGGATGATTCTTCATTCCACTGAGTAAACCTGCAAAAAAAAAAAAAAAGATGTTAAAAGGAAAAATGACACAAAACAAAAACAAGGTCACCAAAATGCCATGCTCTCAAATGCCAGGCTATTCTCTTCCCTTCCTTACCTGCCCATTTGTTTTCTCTTTGATGATAAAGTCACTGGCCCAGCCTGGGAAAACCCTCAATCTATGTACCTCAATTTAAAAATGTGGCCCCAAGGATAATAGAATTGCAACAGGGGGAAGAGAGAATCAGATGGTTACAGAGGAGAAAAGAAGGAAGACGGAGGAGTGGAAGGGAAGGGAGGAGGAAAGAGAAGGAGGGAAGGAGAGGGAGGGATAAGGAGAAGAGGAGAAAAATAATATGTACTCATATATTCATGTACTCATACGTATATAACATACATTCATTCAGTTTGGGGGTGTTTTCTTTTTAGAGAATCTTAAGTTAGGCAGCAAGATATAAGGAGAATGACTTGTATATTTGTGTTTTTGATCTCTTTTCTGTGTGAGTACAAAACAAATAGAATGATGTACGTGAACATTTTCCCGTATCAGGAATAGGGGTGAAGGGTAAACTATAAAACTAAATAGAAGATTAAGTTTCTAAGTAAAAACTTTAAAAAATCTAGATCATCTGAAATTATCATTTCCTTAATCTCTTATGTAAACTGCAAAACATTGTCTGTTTAACAAATGATTTTAAGGAAAATGTGTATCTGTTAAGGTTTCTACTAAATAAAGGTTAATTTTATTTTTGGCTAAAGTTCGAGGCAACATAAAGCCACCAAGGGGATAATTAAGGGGATAATTAAGGGGATAATCACCAAGTATTCCTCATAAAAACAAGTACTCTGAATTATGTTTCTCTACTTACAGAAGTTAAAGGTCTAAAAAAAAACTAAATTATCTCTTCAGTTCATTGTGCAGTGTCTGGTACTAGGAGTTATTATTTGTCTTTTGGAATTTCTGTCCTATTTACTACAAAGATCAAGTACAAGCTTGCTAAAAATGAAGCATTAATAGATGCTGGATAAACAAATAGAACTTTAAATGTGGAAGAAAAAGAGGGGGAAAGTCAGTCTATATTAAAATTAAAATGATACATAATGATAATAAGAAAGGTAATTGTATTCTTTTCAAATGTTCAAACATTTCATAAAATGTTGCCAAAAGCACATATTTGCTGACACTACGTCAATAAGGATGATTTGTAGTCAGCCAAGTCCCATACCTTCTTTTCATTCTTCACATTATTCTTCACAATTCCCAAATGATTCCATGACAAAGTATAGCTTTTTTTCCTGCTTTGGCACAGCACTCACTAATACCAGCAACATATTCATTAAAGTCTTAGATCTATCAGTAGCTTTATATCTGAAAGAGCTCCTTCTTATTCACTTCATACTTTATTATCATTAATATTAATTCATAATTAACATCAACATAAACCATTGCTTTCATTAAGTAAATATACTTCACATGCTTTCAAAACTAAATAGCACAGTTGGTAAACTTCCACATATTCCATACCTTACCTTTTTTGAATCCTCAAATTGCACAGTCTAAATTAATTAGAATATATTACTAAATACATGGCTACAGAACAAAGGGCATTCAAGTAAAAATTGTGATCAAGTGTTATATGTATTTAAATACTTGCAATATGTAAGGCATTTCACTTACAGAGAATAAATATGGTATCAAAATAGTTTATATCAAAAATAATTTTAAATATTTTTAAATTTTAAATATAAAATTATTTTACGGTTATATTTACCTTGGTGGTAAAACAATCTAAAATAGCCTGTGGTAAAAGCACATGGTTATAAAAAACACATTTGGCATCTTACTACTTCTGGAGTAGTGACCTAATAGTGAAAAAAAATACAGTATGGTTTAGGATGTATATTCTTATCTTTTCTTTGGAAATCTCATAATTAAAAAAAAAGTTTTTATTTTATTGTTATCATTTATTTTAAAGATTTTATTTTGGGGGGGGTGCCTGGGTAGCTTAGTTGGCTAAACTTCCGACTCTTGACTTCGGCTCAGGACATGATCTCAGGGTTGTGAGACTGAGCCCCAGGTGGAACGCTACGCTCAGTGGGGAGTCTGCTTGAGATCCTCTCCCTCTCTCCCTCTGCCCCCTCCCCACTTCCACACACTCTCTCTCTAAAATATATAATAAATAAAAAATCTTTAAAAAAGCTATTTTTTAAAGATTTTAAGTAATCTCTACACCCAACATGAGGCTCAAGCCCACAACTCCAAAATCAAAGCATGCTCCACTGACTAAGCCAGTCAGCCATCCTCAAAATCAGTGATTTTAGGGGCGCCTGAATGGCTTAGTTGAGCAATAGCTCCTGGTTTTGGCTTAGGTCATGATCTCAGGGTAGTCAGATGAAGCCCCATGTCAGGCTCTGTGCTCAGAGTGGAGTCTGCTTGATACTCTGTTTCTCTCTCTCTTTCTGCCCCTCCCACCACTCATGCTGACACATGTGCTCTCTCTCAAATGAATAAATAAATAAACAAATAAATAAATAACATCTTAAAAAAAAATCAGCAACTTTAAATGAAAATATAGAGCAGTTTAAAAATATAAAACCTAGGATGTGCCTGGGTGGCTCAACTGGTTAAGCACCCGACTCTTGATGTGGGCTCAGGTCATGATCTTGGGGTTGTGAGATCAAGTCCCATGTGGGGCTCTGCGCTAGGCACGGAGCCTGCTTAGGATTCTCTCTCCCTCTTCCCCCCCCCTCAAAAAATATAAATAAAAATGAAAAATCATATAATACAACTGAGTTGAATATATATACTTTTTGTAATATAATACTTTTTGTATAATACTTTTTGTAATAGTCACTATTCAGTTCAACAAAAATAAATGTCTAATGTCACAAGAAGAGAGTCATTTTTAGTTACCTTTGAAGTAAACTTTGCCCTTTCAAAGTCTGTATAAGTTTTAATGCTCGCTCTTTGCCAACTCCAGGGACTCCCTTTCAGAAAGCGGAAAAGAAATGCAAATTTTAGTCACTGGGGAATGGAGAAGTAAAGCATGACATGTCCATTCAATGGGAGGTTGTGCAGCTGACAGAATAAGACAACTATATAGTCACAGAAAAAAGATGTGTAAGATACCTTGCCACATGTAAAATAATAATTGTAGGATAGCCCACCAAATAGATTTGTAAGTAAAATGACTATGATATTGTTAATCTGTGCAAATCCAAAAGTCACAGGATTATACACTAAATCACTGACAGTGTTTATTTTAAGGGAGGGAGGAACAGAACTTTAAAGGGCTTTCACTTTTTACATTAATTATTTTGATAGTCTTTTAATTTGACCTAACTTCAGGTTATATTTGTAATCAGAAAGAGCATGTTCATTCACTTAGATGAACACTTAATATACAGCCAGACATCACACGAGAACAAAGAAGAGTTCCAAGTTAACTCTTGAAATTAATAACTTAAGAAAAATGAAAACAAGTGTTAAGTTGCCAACACACACACACAAATGTTAATGCATGTGTATTTGCATGACAATTTCTGGTTTGAGTCTTCTAGTTTATGAATATATCCGTACAAGCAGGGCTGTTATTTAGCCAATATGTACTGGGACAGACATACTAGTGTTATAGTATTTCCAAATTGGTTAGGAAAGTCACTACACAAGCATCCTAAGGGCTTGCTGGCAAAGGGATCTTCCTCCAGGCTGAATCCCCTTCCCAAACCCCATACACTCAGGATCAGCTACCAACAGGGTAGCACCTGGTGTGACAGTGGTCCTCAGAAGTCTTGTTTCATGGCTACAGCCTATGTTTTAGGCATACACATTGCTAGACATTTTGTGTATCACCCTTCTTATATTAGCATTTAGCTACATGTTAAGTTTTTAAAGGTAAATCATGTTAGTCCATAAGTGGTAAAAATCTTTAAGTAGAACAAAATAAACAGATACCAGTTTCGTTACAAAGGATAGAAAATGTCAAAATAGCTAAGGTTAATACATAATGTAACATCACTGTAGCTAAAATTGGCTTCTGTGAGCTTAATTTTGCAAGTTTTTTCTTACATTTAACATTTGGCTGTTTCTAAACTTTAATTATGATATAATTACATATGGGAAATAAGAATCTTCTCTTTCAGAATAAGCATTATAATAAAATAATTACTTTTGCTTTATTTAAAGGTTTCCCTCCTCCTGTGCTTCCTTTTCTTATTAGCTAAAAAAAGTGATTTCTCTCTCTGGTCACTGATGACATAAGTTAGAAATGATGGCTAATAATTTTACTATCCTGCTATTTTTTCCTCTCTCCTAAACTCTGATGAAAAAACATAGAGATGTCATCCTTGTTAGACTTCTCCTGGGGATAGAATAATAGTATAATGAAGGATTTAATAAGAACATAGAGATGATCAGTAGGCACCTAATGATGGGACGACATAGTAAGAACTACAATTCAAGGCATTCCATATTTTTAAATATATTTAAGAATGGGGTTTGCCTTATATATATATATATATATATTTTTTTTTTTTTTTTACATATAATGTACTATTTGTTTCAGGGGCACAGGTCTGTGATTCATCAGTCTTACACATTTCATAGCACTCACTATAGCACATACCCTTCCCAGTGTCCATCACCCAGTCACCCCATCCCTCCCACCCACCTCTCCTTGTAATTTTTAATTTATCACTCACCTATTAGCATACCTATTTGTTACAGGGTACTTTACTTTGCATCTTAAATAAAATGTTTTCATGAACAAAACTCAATTCAATGCTAAGAGGCAAGGAAGGATGAATGGTTTACCCCAATAATCATGTTGCCTAGCAACAGTAATAATACTGAGCATGTGCACAGCTGGAAAGCTGCAAGGAAGATTGAAAACCAAAAAACAGACAAAACGGTGATAGAAATTAATACTGGCATGACACAAGAAAAGAATAATTCCTGTATTTTTTTAAAATGGTAGTAAAACTTGAATGTCAATCTCTTAGTTTAGAGTAATGGTTTACTGACATGCAAGCTGTGGGCCTAGTTATTATTCCATTCTTATTTATACATTCAGTGTCACAATGAGCCAGTTTTTTAAATGTCACTTGAAATGCTGATTATTTTCTTTAGTAAATTGTTTATTATGCCTAAAATTATACTCTAAATTATATTCTTAATCAGATAGCTATATTATTTTTATATTTACACAGCATGTAAGGTATCAAAAAAGACACATTATAACTAGTAAATAAATACAACAATCTAAGCATACCTTCGGAAGATAATCACAGCCCAGTAGTATGGCTAGTCCAACCAGAGCATCTCTATCTAAACCTAGTTTACTCTCAATAGATGACATTGTATAACAATCAACATGTGGATCCTAGAAAAAAGTACAGATTTAGTTTAATCTTCAATAAGTAAACATTTGTAGATTAAACATTACAAAAAAGAATTTGTCTCTAAATGCTTAATTATTCCTAAAAGCTAAAATAGGAAAAAAAAATTATCCTGATCACCAGAATCTTCACAGAATATAACACTTCAATGTCTGGAAATGAAGTCATAGTTTTCAAAACCTGGCTTGAAAAATAAACTATAATAGTCAAAATTTTCCTCTTCATTATTTTTTGATGTCTACAAAAGATTTTCGTCTTACAGAATTAGACACTGTACAGTGAATATTGTAAAAAGTAAACATTCTCTGTAATTGCAACACCTAAAGTTAACCATTATACTCTTATTAATACTATAGTGCATATTCATTTTTTTATTAGTTCAGAGGTAGAATTTAGTGATTCATCAGTTGCATGTAACACCCAGTGCTCATTCCATCAAGTACCCTCCATAATGCCCATCACCCAACTACCCCTCCCCTCCGGCCCACCTCCCCTCCAGCAAATCTCAGTTTGTTTCCTAGAGTTCAGTGTCTCTTATGGTTTGCCTCCCTCTCATGCATATTCTTCCAAAAAACACTTTGACATATATGTACAAATATTTATTATTATTGGCTGTATTTAGAATTATATAAAAGTACTATTTTGTAACATTTTTTGCTCACTAATACATCTTTAATATCAGTAATACATATCTGTTTATTTACTTTTTTAAAGATCAAGACCTGAGCTGGGATCAAGAGTCAGCTGTTTAACCAACTCAGTCACCCAGGTGCTCCAATACTATCTTTTTAATGACTGCTTGCTACTAATAAAATGGACTCTGAGGCAATGTCTCTCAGTGGGAATACTATTAGCATTTTCAGAGAGATAAGAGAATCATCTGGCAAGAGGTTTAGCTTTCCTGGCTCCAATCTACCAAATGTCAATATAATCTCCCTTGTCCAACTTTGAATAGTTACAACCAAAATTTCCCCTGGCGATACCTCTCTGAGAACCACGGCTGTGTTTAATCATTCCCTAGAAATGGGCATTTGAGGAGTGCCTGAGTGGCTCAGTCAGTTAAGCAACTGACCTCAGCTTAGGCCATGATCTCAGGGTCCTAGGATCAAGCCCAGTGTCAGGTTCTGGGCTCAGCTCTTCCCCCTGCTCATGCACGTGTTCTATCTCTCAAATCAGTAAATAAAATCTTAAAAAAAAAAAAAATGGGCACTCGGGTTGTTTGCCTCATTTCTGTACTTACTAACAATGCTGTGCAATTAACATCCCTGTACATCTCTCCTTGCATATTTACAGGTGTTTTTGAGGATAAATTACTAAAAAATGGAAATTCTGGGTCAAAGCAAGACATTTCATATGCATTTTTATAATACATTATTGAAACTTAGAATTAAATCATATGAAACAAATTAAGCCCTTAAAAGAGAAATCCACTTTTCAGAGAAAATGAACTATGTGTCAATATTTGTAACTACATTTCATTTCATTTTGCAACTGTTATGTGCCAGGCATTATGGTAAGTATTTTACACCATTTAATAATCGCTTTTCAAAAGGTACTCTGTGGAACAAATGCTGAAAATGAGAAAGAAAAGTACCTTGGTATTCATAGTGAAATTCCTATAAACAGTCTGGGCGCCATAGAGGAAAGCATCCCCATCATCAGTGAGGCAGCCGTCGACGTAACCACTGGCATTAAGATAAGCACACATGGCTTCCGCTTCCCCAGCAGCTTGGACCCAGGGAATTCCTAAGCAATCCAGCATATCGAGACACTGAAAAGAAAACACAGATGCAAGAAATCTAAGAATACCATTTTATTGCTATTTTTTCCGGTGTTAGTAAATGACTTCTGTGTTATAGATATTAATTGTTAACAACAGGTGTTTTACAAATTGTGATATTTAAGAAATGATTGGAAATCTGAATACTGAATACTTTATGGCATTAAAGAATGCTAAACTTTAGGTGTGATAATAAGAAATGTAGTTTGGTTATGTTTTTATTTATTTTTAAAGAGTCATTTTTTGACATAGATATTGAAATACTGAAACTGAGGCAATATTATGTGTGGGATTTGCTTCAGAATGACATGGGAGTAGGGAGTGAGTGGGGACACAGATAAAACAAGATTGGCTAAGAGCTGCTAACTGGTCAAGATTGATGATGGGTTACTTTTATATTGATTTAAAATTTTCCATAACGAAAGTTTTAAAAATGTCAATTGAAAAGCAATCCACATTCAATTAAAAATTAATTTAAAAATTACATTTTGGGGACGCCCGGGAGATTCAGTTGGTTAAATATCTGTCTTCAGCTCAGGTCAGGATCTCAGGGTCCTGGAATTGAGCCCCAAGTTGGGTTTCCTGCTTAGCAGAGAGTCTGCTTCTCCCTCCCCCTTTGCTCCCCGCACCCACCCCCACTCATTCTCTCTAATAAATAAAATCTTTTTAAAAAGCTACATTTTAGAAAAAGCATTAAATATTCAATTTTCACTGTTTTGTTCAATGTTATCTCAAGATTTAAAAGAAATCTTTAAATGATTATTAATTACATTAAGATTTACATCTGCAAAACTACAAAAATTCCTCTCACATGATGGTCAACTTAATATGAGCTCTTCCAAAGAAGCTGCTGTTATCAAATTTTATTTGAGACCTTACAGTTTTCTTCTTTTCCTCTACCATGTCCATACAATGAAACTCTCATGTTGTGGGAAAGCACATAGGGACCAGTTGTTGATTTGTTCCCTGAAGTCAAATGTCTATGCAGGGTGGTTCTAGCCATGTGTTGATTTATAAATAATCCTCAGTGAGTTTCCTTTGTGTAAGGAGTTGAACCCAGATGAATAGCTTGTAGTCTAGCCTTACAGCCTAAGGCACTCTTTCTTGTCACTCATGCACTTTACAATGAGAAATACTGGGAATGGCGAGGAAAAGAGGCTCTTAACCATAGTTTCTAGAGACTGATGCTGTAAATATCATGTTTTGCTTTAACTGAATGCTTGCATGATTATTACATAATAAAAACCTCTGCCAGATGTTGCCCAAGGCAGACAGGGTTCAAAATGACAAAGTACTATGGTGGGGGGAAAAAAAAAGGTACTTTCCAGGTTTCCGGCTGGGTGACTTTAGGGAGATAGTTTTGATACTTCTGCCTTCCTCTAGATAAGAAATATCCTTCCAGGGGCACCTGGGTGGCTCAGCTGGTTAAGCATCTGCCTTCAACTCAGGATCAAGCCTCATGTCCAGCTCCCTGCTCAGCGAGGAGTCTACTTCTCCCTCCCTCTCTGCCTCTCCCCAGTTTGAGATCCTTCTCTCTCTCATTCTTAAATAAATAAATAAAATCTTAAAGAAGAAAGAAAGCAAGGAAGTAAGAAAGATCCTTTCATAATAAACAAGAGAGTTTGGAACTTATTTCAGATTCCTGCATTATTTGTCATTCCAACTCTTTAAAAACCAGCACAGAATTTGTGATGAGGCTGGTTATAAATTTCCCTACCCTAAGTCTATCATGTGGGGCGGTATTAGAGGAAAACCAATTTGTGTTCCATCCTTATACCTAAAAGATGGCAGTGGGTTAGCAAGAAGTAGAGCTTAGTAACTAAGAGTATAGATAAATGAAAATGAATTTTTTATTCATTCAGGCAACACTGAACAATGACACAAAATGCTTAGGAACACCACAATTACTACAATTACTACAATAAAGAAATAGAAACGGAGCAATTTTCTCAAGAAGAGATGAACATCTTGTTACTTTATACTGGCTATTTCATGCCCTCAGTATGTGGACCATAGATATTTCCAGGAACAGACAATGTAAGAAATAATTAGAATCTAGTACAGATATTTTCTTCAGCTACTGATAGTCATTATGGTGGAAAGATCACTAATTGGAAACTATTTTTTAAGATCACATTACAAATAGAAAATAAAATTTCAAGAGAAAAATGATTATTATTTTATGTAATATCTTTTAAAAGAAATGAAAATTTTAACCACAATTAAAAAGAAAAATGGGACGCCTGGGTGGTTCAGTTGGTTAAGCATCTGCCTTTGGTTCAGGTCATGATCCCAGGGTCCTGGGTTCAAGCCCTGCATCAGGCTCCCTGCTCGGCTGGGAGCTTGCTTCTCTCTCTTCCTCTGCCTGCTACTCCCCCTGCTTGTGCTCTCCCCCTCTCTCCCCCTGTCAAATAAATAAAATCTTTTAAAAAAAGAAAGAAAAGAAAAATGGAGATATGAGTTAAAAGCAAATATAATGGAAGTATATATCTTTAACATAAAGAACTTGAATAACAACAACAAATTAAAACCTCAAAAGATTCGTCAGGCAAGGACAATGGCCCTTTATCAACTGAGATACTAAAAACTAAGATGTTTAACCTTAATCTAAAAGTCCAATACACATTAAGTACGTATTATATGTATTTATATGTATTACATAAACAAATATCTTTGTTTTTGTATACTAAATAATACAAAGATAAGCATCCTAGCACCCAATGCTCTTCAGGCGTACTGAAATTGCACATCTCAGATCTGTGCTGGTCAAAGTGATTGGCGAGAACTATAAAATCATTCCCAAACTTTGGTCTATCCATCCCACTTTGGGCAATTTGTCTTAACCACCCAAGTCACAAGAAAAAACTATGTACACAAAAAAATCTTCATCATAATTTCACAAATAATAGAGAATGAAAAGCAAACATATATGCAATCATGGGGGAATGATTTCATAGCTTTCTGTAGTATTTCATACATGTTACACAACCATTACAAGTTATAGATTTGGAAAGAATGTGGCAAAAGGGAAATATGGGTACTATATGTTAAGTTAAAATTCTGAGATAAAAACCACATGTGAGGACACCTGGGTGGCTCAGCCAATTAAGTGTCAGACTTTTGCTTTCAGCCCAGGTCATGATCTCAGGGTTGTGGGCTTCGTGATGGACAGGAAGCCACCTTATGATTCTCTCTCTTGGGGCACCCGGGTGACTCAGTGGGTTAAAGCCTCTGTCTTTGGCTCAGGTCATGATCCCAGGGTCCTTTGATCGAGACCTGCATAGGGCTCTCTGCTCAGTGGGGAGCCTGCTTCCCTTCCTCTCTCTCTGCCTGCCTCTCTGCCTACTTGTGATCTCTGTCAAAAAGATAAATAAAATCTTAAAAAAAAAAAAAAATTCTCTCCGTCCAGACTCTCCCTCTGGAGTCCCCCCACAATGAATGAGTGAAGTATGAGCTCATTAGATCTCTACTCTAGGAAATTCTTTAAGTGCTGAAGATGTCATAATGGGTAACCTATATCAACTCCCTACTATGTAGTAGTTGAGTTAGATATTGGATATATATATATATATATATATATATATATATATATATTTTTTTTTTTTTTTTTTTTTTTAAATTTTCACCACATTCCTGCAAAGTGTTACTATCCTCATTGCACAGGTTAGGAAGTAAAGCAGATGTAATAAAAAAAAACCTTGCTCAACATCTCAGAATTTCCATATGCCAGAGCCAGGCTTGAACTTGGGTGAGTTTCACTACAGAATATAAACTCTCTTCTATATCCCCACTGGCCTTCTAGTTATAGTAAGTTTAGTGAGTATTAAAGATTATGATATAACAACCTTTATCAGAATAAAATGCATTCTCTAACTCAAATCAGAATTATTAAATCGTATCTAAACACTCACCTCTTTTAAAACTGATTTAAAATGTGATCTCCCTGTTCTCTGAGACCATGTTTTTCCCGAAGGCCCATATCGAATCTGATTCCTCCTGCTTATGACATCAGCTTTCAGCTTTGGGGGTTCCCCTTCCATAACGAACACCAGTTTTACATCCATCAGTGTTAAACAGGAGATACGAAAAAATAAGTTCCTTAAATATAAAAATCAGTAACCCATTAATAATCAGATGCTGATGGCAAAAGTCAACACAGCAATACGACATAATGGTAAGAACATCAGATGAGTACCAAAAAGGTTACATGCAATCACATTTTATGTATTCATATTCTATTTTCAGTGAACTGAGAAACCACTGAATGTTTTTAAGCGGGAGAGATTTATGATGGTGCTACATGGAAAACAGTTTAGAGGAGGAAGAGGCCAGGAGCTGAGGAAGGAAAACTCATGAAAGACATTTCAGTACAGATGAGAGATGATGGTGTCACACACTGAGGTCCTGCCTCTGGACGTTGACAGAAGTTTCTGAACACAAGGAATATTCTGGAAGTAGAACTGACAAGACTCCCTGATAGACTGGATGCAAAGCGGGGCCAAACAGAGAATGGCTCCCAAATTGCTGGCTTCTAGTCACCAAAGCATCCTAGTGGATATGGGAAGTAGGCAGCTGGGTCTGTGACTCTGGAGCTCAAATGTGTGAGTCATCAATTTATTAGAGATGGCAGAGACCGACATGTTAGTAACATATTTTAAAATCCCAAAATGGACAGCAACAACAAAGAAACAAAGTGGAAGCAAAACCAAGGCATGACCTGCTTATGCAATCATACATCTATGTCCTAAGAACATTTACTGTACCTGAGGTGGGGCTTCATGACGGTTCCAATCATTTTTTTGACCATCTGTGCTTCACATACCCAGAGACTCAGATCAACTGCAATGGTTTTCCCACAGAGATTATCCAACTGGAGGTGCTGCTTTACAGGCTCCAAAATTGGCCACAAGTCATTCACACCCATTCTGGTGATCGCCTGCTGTTATTTGAAACACACTTCATAATATGGACTGTTAAAGACGCAGGAGCTCAGAACAGAAATTCACACAATATATTCTGTGTTTGTTTAGGATAATTCACAAATAGAGAACTCTCCTTATTTCCTTCATTAGGCAGCTTTTTGGAATGCTTCAAGAACATCTGAAACCTTAACAGTGGTGGTAATTTCCCTACTAGCTACAAAAATACTGATGCAACTAATGGATTAAGTTATTTGCAAATGGTACCCTGCTGGATTTGTCCTTAAAAATCCACTCCTCACCAAATACGTGTTTCTTTGGAGTACTGAAAAATAACGTTATTTTTAAATTTAATGGAACCCAAATGTGAATGGTCTTATCCCTTCTCATTCTCTCTTCTTGTCTATGTTCTCTTCAGCAGTGGTTGAGAATAATGTTTCTTAAATGGTTATATTAAGATTGCATGAAATTTAGAAGATAAAAGGGAAAAAAAACCCAAATGGTAGTAATTGGCTTTGTTCCAGCGGTTAACAAGCAATAACAAATGCAGAGATGGGTACCAGCGATGATGCTGTAAATCATATTTGTCTTCTTGAGAATTCACTCCTTGATTTACATACCTAAAGCAAGAATAGGACTAGTTTTCTATCATAATCAGGAAATACAAGAAAACAAAAGCAAAGAAGCATGCAAATAAGTAAACTAAGGCAAAAACACTAGGAGGTCAATGGAAAATGGGGGGGCATAAAATGGAGTTGGAGGCATAAAAGTTTTTTATGTCTTTTTAAAAAGTTGGCTTTTCAAATTGCAAAGTCATACATGTTTATCGTGGAAAATTTAAAAAGAAATCTTTGAAAGAACAAAAAATTTTTAATCACCTGTACTGCCACTTTCAAAGAAAACTGTTAAACTCCTCAGTTTTAAAAGGCATTTTAAAAACAAAATTGACTTAAACTCTGCTATTTTAACCTGCTTTCGTATTTTCTATAGTCTATTTTTTCCTTATTAAACACCCATATCTGTTTTTCTCTTACTTTGCTATTATTTGATGAGTGTATTATGTAGTATTTGCAATGATGATTCAATCTCACTCTACAAACATAATTGAGATTATCATCCTCTGAATAATGACCTTAATTCATTCCAGAAACACAGGTAGCATACAAAAAATACTACAAAAGCCTATCACTATGCAAAATACAAACCAATGCAAACCCATTCTAAATAAAAAATACTGTGTTGTCTGTTCCTTTAACAGATTTCACAGCAAAAGCAAATTTTCTCAAATTATACATAGTTGCAAAGAAAACAAACGCTGGGCTGTTGTTATTTTCTCTGCACTTTTCTGAATCTTAATTTTATATTGTGGCCAGGGCCACTTTTAGTAGTATTTTGTGTATTAATTTTTTTAATGAAGAATTGATCCAATATTTGTAAAGTGATATGTCACTTTACAAAGAAAAAATACACATTGTTAAATGCAAAGGATAAAGAATTAGGTAGTCTATTTCACATAAGCAGCCCCACTGGTTCAATGTTGCATTGTGGCATTGATTCGAAGATAAGGTTTTATCTCTGTTAATGTGAAAAGTTGTAGTTAATTCTGGACAGAGTGGAGAAACATGTATTTTCTAAGTTATTATGAAAGGAAATAAGATTTTCACAGTCTTAAATATCAGAATGTATAAAATTCAGAAGTAGAAAGTTTGGGAGGCACATTTTTGTTGAAAGTTTTGCTTTCCTTTTATTTGTGATTCAAGTTGAGTATACCAGAATGGATTGTTACTGAAGGAAATTCTGCAATTTCTCTCTCTGGAGGAATGTTATCATATTTCATTTAAATGTGACCCTGACTCTAGCTGTCAAAATTTTAAATGCAGGTTATCTTCTGATTAGCAAAAGCTCTCCCAGGAATTTAAGATATGCTCTTAGCTGTGAGATTTATATAAAAGGATATCAACTGTAGCATTGTTTATAATAGTAAAACAATAAGAAGAAACAAATGTCCCTCAAGGAGTACCTTAATAAATTATGGCATGTTCAAAAAGAACAGAAAAAATAAATGGGATAGATCTACTTGTATAGTCTCCAAGTTTTCAAATGAAAACAGGTAGAAAATAGGTTATGTATCAGGGATGACGATAGTTTAGGAATGGAAAGAAGAATTACTCTTCAAAGTACACACCTTTGTTTTTTTAATAATCATATGCATTCATTATTTTTCAAATTAAAAAAAAAAGTTCAAAAAAACGTATCTGTAAAAGGTTGGGGAAATAGGGGTACCTGCGTGGTTCAGTGGGTTAAGCCTCTGCCTTCTGCTCAGGTCATGATCTCGGGGTCCTGGGATTGAGCCCCACATGGGGCTCTCTGCTCAGTGGGGAGCCTGTTTTCCCCTCTCTCTGCCTGCCTGTCTGCCTACTTGTGATCTCTATCTGTCAAATAAATAAATAAAATCTTTAAAAAAATCTATAAAGGTTGGGGAAATAAAACTAGAAATCTTTAGGTGGTTTATTTCTTGCCTAAATATTAAGAGATCAAATATGACTATAGTTTATGGGTCAAATTAAAAAGCAAGGTTCTGCAAATTTCTAAGTACCTCGTAACAAATCTGACTTGAGTATGGTTCTTCTAGGGATTAGTGATTCACATTCTCTTGTTTTCTTCAGATTCTCTAGGAGCTAGTCATGTGGACTTAAACAAGGCTCATTTTTCCCTCTGGCCTTTCCTGCTCACAGGTTCCTTACTTCCAGTCTTATCTCTAATGCTTCATTACATGAGTTGACTACACATATCTAAGTAAGTAATAATAACTGAAGATTCCCATCTAGTACAGTGTTGTTTATGATGGCACAGATAAACACACATTTATGTAAAGGACTGCAATGCATATTATATTCCTTCTGAAGGTTGTAGGAAAAAAATTAGAGCCGTTGATAGGGTAGAGTCTTGATTTTACAAACTGTAGTCCTCTAAATATTTCAAGCATATTAGGAACATTTTTTAAAGAATTTAATGAAATATTATTCACTAGGGCAGCCAAGCATGAGAAAAAATAAGACTACAACTGATTCTATTAAAACATTAAAATTCCACAGATTGGATCCTTTAAGCAAGACCAAGAGGACTTTCAACTACGCCCATAAATAATGTTTTTTTAAAGATTTTATTTATTTATTGGGGCAGGGGGAGAGGGAACAGGAGCAGGGGGAGAGCAGTGGGAGAAGCAGTCTCCCTGCTCAGCAAGGAGTCAGATTAGAGGCTCCATTGCAAGCCCCTGGGAGAGGTGACCTGAGCCAAAGGCAGATGTTTAACCCACTAAGCCACCCAGGCAACCCAATAATATTTTTAATATAACATGATTATTACATTTAAAACTTAATTCTTCATGCCATTTTATTTTCTTTTGTCAGCATAAACCTGGTTTAAAGAACGAGCATCCAGGGCGCCTGGGTGGCTCAGTGGGTTAAGCCGCTGCCTTCGGCTCAGGTCATGATCTCGGGGTCCTGGGATCGGGTCCCGCATCGGGCTCTCTGCTCGGCAGGGGGCCTGCTTCCCTCTCTCTCTCTCTCTCTGCCTGCCTCTCTGTCTACTTGTGATCTCTCTCTGTCAAATAAATAAATAAAATCTTAAAAAAAAAAAAAAAAAAAAGAACGAGCATCCACAGTTAGGTTACAGAGCCGCCACCAGCACTGGTAGCTGAACAGTTATCAGTAATGTCTACCTAGGATACCCATTTTGGCTCTTCCTTTATTAAAATGTGAGAGAAGGCTACAAAATTGTAACCGCAGTTATTTAAACACAACTGTTATGAACCATGTAGGCAAACAGAACAACAGAATTATCTGTTGGTTCCCAGAAAGCAAAATTTGAGTTACTATCTCTGAACTAAAGTGTTTTCTTCTCCATTTTTCCTAAGTCATGTGGTATTTTCCAGAAAACTCTTTCATTGCCAATCTTTTTGGTCACCATATTTTAAAATCTATCTCAAAGCTTTTAAAAAGACTTTGATACCTTACCCTACAGTCCCCATGCAGCTATTGAAATGGATTTCAAAGAGGAGAGTCTCTTTGTGGTTCCCAAACACATACCTATAGAAGAGTAATGCTTGGCTCAGTTTCTTTCATTAGCATCATGGTAGATTTCCTGATACTGTGAAATATTTTTTTCCCTCACTTTTTTCTCTGAATGATAGGAATCAAGGGAACATTTTAATAGGAGCTAGCTTCTATGACATGCCCCCCAAAATCTTTTTTCTCTAACTTTACATTAATGAACTTGTTAGACCTTCTTGAATTACAAGATTTTATAAAGCCTTCACTGTTTTTAACTAAAAAATAACGAATTAGAACTATGCCAAGCAACATATTAAAAGGGTTGGGAGTGGGCACGGGAATTGCAAAGTGAGCAGGAAGATTTGAGGAAGAATATTTTTAGAGGCAGAGGCAGAGGCAGACTACACTGGAAAGGACATTTTTGCTGAGTTTCCTTTGAAGACTCTATAATGAGCTCTTATCCAGTCTTCCTCATATTACTTATCCCACTTACCTGACATCTCCCCTGGGCTGTTAACTAGAATACCAAATTCCCTACTTTACCTTCATGTGGATGCATAATATGCATTTAACTCTTGATTCCACCACCTCGCCTCCAAACTGTTTTACTTCCAGTCACTTAGGCCATAAACCTAGCAGTCCTCGGTTCATCTCTTTACTCAGCTCTCCAATGCCCGCTCCATCAGCAAATCCTCTACCTTTAAGATATACTTGAAATCCCCATTTCTATTGATAGAACTCTGGCGTTGCCTATAGACAAACTTTAACAGTCTTCCAAATCGCCTCTCTGCTTCCACTTTTTACTATCCTCCTCTCCTACATAATCATTCTCCTTCTAAAAGCCTAAAATCCTGTTTAAAAACCTAAAACATACTAAGATCATCATCTCCCTGTTTGTCACATGTGCATCTATTCCTTCTGTTTATTACATTAATTTACTTCTTCATTATTGGTGCTATCTTAGAGCCAGTTATAAAACAAAAACAAAAACAAAATACGTAAAATTACGTAAGCGTTCTACATGTAATACATTATTTTAAAATACTATTTTAGGATTATCTTCATTAGATCTATGATCTAAATCAGTTAAGTTTAGAATGCATGTTCCTTTTGAAAATCATTCCTAAGAACAGAATATATTAAAAATACCCATTAGTCCAGAAAGGGCAAAATTATGTAAAATGTATATTTTATGAAAAATAACATCATGTTCTAAGAATGCAGTTAATCCTAAATGTCTATTCCTGGGATCTATTGTTTTCCATTCCTTGCCATTTTCTTGGCTTCAGTGCTTCCTCTGTACATTAAGCTTCAACAGTAACATTGTAAAAGCATATAATGTTCCAAAAAGGGACAGAATGCCACAGCTTTTAAGATATTCAAGTACAACTACACTGGAAGATAGAACAGATGGTTTTTGAATGAGGTCATGATCATCAGCCTGAAGTTACCTGATGAGGTTACTTGAAAATAGCTCAGCATTAAACACAACATATATCAAAGTCTCTCACAGCTACGTAAAATTTTCTCTTATTTTTCAATAAGATACAATTTGAAAAAATCGTGGTGTAGGATGTGGTCTCTACTCCCATCTTCATAATGTGGTACTTTTACTGACATCAATCTGATCACGCCATCAGTGTATTATTACATATAAAAAGAAGTCTCCTTAACATATTAACAATTCTTTTTTTTTTATATTTTATTTATTTATTTGAGAGAGAGAGAGAGACAGTGAGAGAGAGCATGAGCGAGGAGAAGGTCAGAGGGAGAAGCAGACTCCCCGAGGAGCTGGGAGCCTGATGCGGGACTCGATCCCAAGACTCCAGGATCATGACCTGAGCTGAAGGCAGTCACTTAACCAACTGAGCCACCCAGGCGCCCAACATATTAACAATTCTTAAGAATTAATGTGACACAAGAATATTCATTTGAATCAAAAAAGTCATAACAACCCACAGTAAATAACTTTATAACCTATTAGTGACTTCAATTTATTTAGTTTACTGAAAAAGCATTAGACTTGGAATTAGAAACCTAGGATTTTGGTCTTGGATATAATACTGAAGCTGTATAACCTTGGGAAGACGTTTAACCCATCTACAAAATGGGAGGTACTAAACCAAATGAACTATACGATTCTGATATTCTTTGAACCTCCTGACCAATTTTGGTAGCTTGTACTAAAATAAAACCAGTCTATTTTAGATACTACTGCTTGACAGAAAGAACACAAATTTCTAGTTTAAAAAAGCCCTCAAGAATTCACTACAGTTAAAATAAAACAAATCCTTTGATGTAACCATATGGTGCCCATAAATCAATTTATGCTCCTAAAACTTCCTTAAAAGCTAATAAGCTTTTATTGGTTAATTATAAAACTGAATGAAGTGAGAAAAGCACAGAGCCCTGCTAATTCCACTAATGAATCAAATTTTAAAGAACATAAAAAGAGGTCAGTGGTTTGATTTATGCAAAAATACACATTTTATTAAACCAACAGTTTTCCTATTTCAGTTTTAAGCAAAAACATTAGGAAAAAACTCTTTAACAACAAAACGAGAAATACTTTAAGTTTCCCAGTTCCCACTTACAAGACTATTTTCACATAAAGATAGGTAAATGGTCTATTTCAGTTCAAGATTGGACTGTATGGGATTTCCACCTAATTTCACTAATTAATGCTGGTTTTTTATTCTTTCTTCAGTTTTATTTTCATATGGATTTAGCATAAACTTTGAAGCATGATATACGCCAGACTTATAGTTAAGTGTTTATTAAATACCTATTATGTACCGGGAACTCTAGATGCTAGATACTATAATGAGAGATGAAGCCCTGCGTTTAAGGACTTTATTAGGGCGAGACTAGAGATGGAAAGAGAATTACAACAACGTGACAAGGACAAGCGAAGTTAACGTAAGCTACAGGAGTACATAAATACCTTACCTAATATTGAGCATCAAGGAGGGGCTTCCTAAAGGAAGTGACATTGACCAGAAACCACCCAACTGTTCCCCACTGTTTACCAACAAGGATCACTTAAGACTAGATGTTGTACTGTTTTAGTCTATTTTGACCAGGTCCTACTTTTCATTGTGCCATGGCAAGGGCCACCATGGGAATAAGATACATTTGATTTTCTTTAGAAGCAAAAGGTCACTTCTATAGAAGGAATTCATTATTGGAGCCCAGACAATTGTCATCTGTTTGGGGGTGAAGCAGCGTAGCAGTAAATGCCACTTTTCCTCATCTACAAGGGAAGACTGTGGAATATAGGAAATTGAGTATTTGACCCGATCAACGTACTCCGTTCAAGAGTTGTGTAAAGACCTAAGAGGTCGGTTAATGTCTGGGTAAGAACAGCACTGAAAGCTACGCCAAGAAACTTAAAACTTCGTTAGTTCCGGTATTTATTGAGGGGGGAGGGATTTACAGTATAGGCCGGTGCGGGGAAAAGACTGTAAATAACCACAACGCCTTAAGGGAACGGCTATCGTGGAAGCATTTCCAGAGCACAACACTGAAAAAGGAACACCCGGGTTAGACTACGCCTGCTCGGGCCTGGAACGGGGCGTGGGCGTTCGCCTACAGGGTGCCCGGGAGAACATCCAGCGGCCATCTGCCTCGGCGGAGAGGAGCGAGCGCGGGGCGGCCGGGGGTCAAGCAAGCACGGCCGGATCGCGGCCAGGCGGCTCTCCCACCGTACTCCCAGCCGAGCCGCTGACCGGGGTTCGGAGGAGCGCCCCAACCCAGCCTTTCAAAGGAGCCAGAGGAAGGACGGGTCGGGGCCGCCTCTCCACGGTCCGCCGGACTTACCCGGACACCCCTTTCTCCTCGGTTTTGGAAGACGCCCCTCCGTCTTTTACCAGTTTGGCCTGAACCCTAACTACTGCTGCCTCCAAGTTTACAAATTTTCTCTTCAAAAAAAAAAAAAAAACAAAAAACTAAGCGAAAGAAAAGGGAAAGTGCTCTTTCCTTTTTCCCTAAGCAAAGACTAACGCTTGGATTGCAGCACCCGGACGCGGGAAGTCGCCGGAGCACTTCTAATTCCGCGCCCCCTCTCTCGTGGCCCCGCCTCTTCCGGGAAGTAACCGTCCCCTTCCCGCGACCGCAGTCTCTCACTAGGCTTTCCGGGCTTCCAGACGCTCGGCTCTACGCATGCTTGGAACTGTTACCGGGGTGCTCCGAGTTCTCTTCCCTTTCACTTAGGCAAATCACCCGGCCCCGCGCGTCCCGCCGACGAGAGCCCTGCGAGCCTACCAGCTTCCCCGTCGGCTGAGGGGCACTTGCGGCCCCTCCTCTTACACTCTAGAGGCGCGAAAACTCCGAACCGCGCACGCGCGGGCTGAGCCCCGGCGGGAGGGGGGGCGGGGCGCAGGCGCGGAGTGTCCAGCGGTGGGCGCCGGGGCAGCCAGCCTCCTGCGTTCTCCCACCGCCGGCGCGCGGTTCCTCGCGGGCCAACGGCGGCTAGCCGAGGCCGAGACGCCCCAGGGTGCCCTTTGCGGCCCGCTGCCCAAGACAGCAGCCCCGATCGGGTTCCTTGGGGAGACTTGGACTTGTTCGAGGTAAGGTGAGGGCGCGCGCTGTCGCTCTCCCTTGCTCCGGATCAATCCCCTCGCTGCCCCCTTAGCCGGAGCCCTCCAGCCCACCTGGTGGCGGCTCGGTCACCGGAGCTGCGGCGGTGTCCAGGGTGTACCCGCGGGCCCGAGCGGGCCAGCCCGCCGGTAGGGATCTTCGGGCTTTCTCTGCGGGCGACACAGGTCTCCTCAACCGCGGGAAACTTGCCCGTGGCAACTGGGGCCCTCTTCGGGCTCCGCCGGCGGGGCTGGCAAATCCGGCTCGGGCTGTGGGACCCGGCGCCCGGCCCCTACCGGCCCTCGGCTTAGAGGAATAGCTTGAGGGGATGCGGTCCTGGGGCGGGGGGGAGAGTGGGCTCGGACCTCTGGCGCGTCGAGCGAATCTGATACCTCACCAGCAGCAACTTAGTCTGTTTACGAATGTATGCAAATAGCACTTTAATTAGATTTGTTGTTAAACCCAGCGTCATGACAACGCCGATTGTATTATGTAGGGAAATTAAATTGTAATGTTTGTAATGTTTGGAGGTTTTGTGATGGCATTTCTGTTCCCTCTTTTCTTGTGGAAATGAACTGAGGAGGAATCCCGATTGGGAATTGCGGAACGCAAGACTAGGATAGAGAAACGGCTGTGGGACCTGTAAGACTTGTGATGATTCCTGGAAAGAGTAACGATTTTGTGTATAAACCCTGAAGGCAGAATTGACGCGAGCGCTTAGTACTCCGTGTATATTTCATGAGTAGGAGATTAAAAGCGGGTGTTTTAAGACAAGCTATTTCGGAATGTATATTCAAAGCAAAAAAAAAAAAAAAGGTCCAAACTCCGTAACTTTTAGGTAACTACTGTATATATAGTCTTTTAGAATATTCAATAACTAAAAAAGATAAAAGAAAGAAATTCAATAGCGTATGCACTGGCCTGCAGGTGTTAGGTAGTAAGTAGTTACTTGGGTGTGTGGGTGGAAGGGAACATATTAGAACTTCTACTTTGATTTACTTTGTCTCATTCTAGTACTGTGTGAAATACACAGAGTGATAATTTTATGTTGAAATATGTATTCAAAATTTCTTTTTCTGACTGGAGATCAGATTTGGAGATCACTAGAATATTGCTTGTAAAACATGTTTTTTTTGTGAGAGAACAACTGTTATGTGACCCAGAGCTCTTTGGTATTACCTCTTTAGGTTTTAGTTCTTTTTCTGTAATTGGAGGAAAATAGCTGTAATACCTAACAGCAGGATTCTTAAATATGTGTGTGTGGTGGGAGGAGAATATTTATAGCCCTATCTTTATCTATAATAAATATAAAGCATTTAGTATTGAGGTAGGCAACAAAAGTAAGTACAAATTCCCTAAAGGTTTATTTTACTGAGTGTCTAGACGTAGAATTTTATATAAAACCTACCTAAATGTTGACTTACCATCTTGACTTACCATTTTTTAGAACTAAGTTAGACAAATTAATCAAAGCTGTATTTGACTTTCAGGAATCAATAAACAAGAAACTCAAAATTTTACCATAATGGTATGCATTATATTTAAGGCATAATTAGTTACATTTCACAGTTCTGTATACACACACATTAGTAAGTCCAGGTGACTGAGGGTCAACTATAGTCACTTCTGTTAATGTTAGCATTTTGATTCACTAGTTAATGAGATACATCTTTTCTCATTTAACGTACTTTCCCTGGTGACCAAATTCAAAATAATTTCTGTAGCTTTCTCAGCACCACTCCCAAATCTACCCTTACTGCCTATTAACCTCTCCTTCTCAATATCCTAGAATCACTTCCAACTCAGTGTTTCGAGGCAAAATAAATGTATTATTTACCCCTTTTCTTTCCAAACCTGCACTGTGGACTTATTATGGCATTTAGCGTTGTGTGAAGATTGTTTCTAAAAATGAAACACAAAATGAAGTTTTTTAAAGCCCCAAGTTTTAATTGGCTCAAATACTAACATTAGAAGGACACATCACGATACAATCCTTTTTGTAGTTTTATACATTGACGAAAGATAGATAAGAAGACGAATAAATTAATAGCCAATTTCACTGCCTATAAACAAACTTAGTTGTTCATGCCTGGAGGAACCTGGGCGTTGAAGAGGTTTGACTTTGGATTTTGACAAACCTGGGTTTAGATATGAGTTCTGCTAAGTTACAGCTACTTGTGTCTGGGCAAAATGTCTTGAGTCTCAATATCCCCTTTTGTAAAATAAGGACAGTACTTACAAGGATGTTGAGGATTAAAGGAGATAAAGTGTTTATCTCAAAAGCTAAGCATGTAATAAGTAGATATTTAACAAATGTTAATTCTACTCCCATTTCACCCATACTTTTAAATCTCTTGGTTTCTTCTGTTCTTCTCATCCCTGATACTGTCACTGCTTTCCTTCAGTGCCCCCTCACCCTTAGTAGCTGGGCTCTTTTGGCCCTATTCACACTCACCCTGTTTTATCTGTCCTCTAGGTTGAGGCCACAGGAATGTTATTAAAACACAAATCCGAGTGTTCAGATTTTATTATCTGGAATGTTGTGCTTAGTGCTTCCCAGTTTTGCTGATCTAGAATTGTTTGATAGATGGACTCTTGAAATTTTTTTCACTTAACTCTATTATTTATTATGTATTGCATCTTGTGATTTTATGGTATATCCCAAGCAATGTGCTTAATTAGTTCACTACATTAAAAATGAGGTAGTTTAATATGCAGAACTGAGTGTGTCGGTGGTGGTGGGAGGGGCAGGGTTGGAGATGCCATAAACACAGTCCGCAGCAGATTCAGATGTGGCAGCACCTTGCCTTTATTTTGCACCATTATTTCCTACTGTTTATACAGCTCTGTTACATCTGTTCTACTGCTCTTAGTTCCTTCTTGGATATTCATGAGAAGTATGAATTATTAGATGGCTCACGATAAAATTTAAAATTTAGGCATTTATAATCCTGTTGAAGTGTATTTGATCTATCAAATTTCCTATTCACTTACTTGCTGTAATGAATTGGTTACCGATTTTCCTTCTTGAACTTTTTATTGATAGTTACATATATGTTACTATTCTGCTCTGATTTGCTTCCTGTGAGAGAGAGATGTATTCCTTAATTCTGACTGTTTTATTGTAAATAAACAAATGAAGAGCTTTATGGATGTATTGAAAATAATGTATTGAAAATCCCAGAGGAGATTTTTTTCCCTTTTGTATTTCAGAATATTAGAGGTATTTTTCTTTGCATCTATTAATGTGTCTCTTTAGCCTTTTGGAGACAATTTTACTGTATTAACTTGTGTCTAACTCTCAGGACATTCATATGTGTTTTTAAAAATCCATTATCATTAAATTACAGAGTGATTTGTATTTTAAAAAGTAGGATCCTTCAGTACCTGTCAGATGCATGTTACCATGGTAACCTAGTAGCAAACTGCAAATCCCAGGCCAAACACAGCAAATAAAAAACATCGTCATCACGTAGCACACCATCTTCTGTGTAGTACAGAATCTCACATTCACTGTAAGAAGCTTAACCACATTTATCTACATGCACTTTCCTCCCCCAATTTTACTTGAAAAACTACCATGTTTTCATGGTAAAATACTAAAATCAGTCAGCTGATGTCTGAGTGCCTGTTAATTGCAAGATCATTATTGGGCATTAATGAAAACTGTATCTAAAAAGGAATTTAATGTGGGGAAAACCAAATGGTTATTTGTCCTCTCTGCTTTCCTACAATAAATAAATTACTGCTCAGTAATTGAGAAGGAAATAGAGAATGGGTGGGAGAGAAAGTATTTTTGGGAAAATAATGGCATGGTGGTATTCCAGGGAATTTAAGTTAGCAACAAGCAACAACAAACTAATATACATCGACTTTTGTTTTGTTTTTTGGTTTTTTAAAAGATTTTATTTATTTATTTATTTGACAGACAGAGATCACAAGTAAGCAGGCTCCCTGCCAAGTAGAGAGCCCGATGTGGGACTTGATCCCAGGACCCCGAGATCATGACCTGAGCCGAAGGCAGAGGCCTTAACCCACTGAGCCATTCAGGCGCCCTACATTGACTCTTGTTAAATAGTTTGAGAACTAGGTTGGATTTTTCAAGTTTTGTTTGACTAGTTGAAGAGATTCAAAATTAACATTCGATTATTTGTTAAAAGAACAGATGTTGAATATTATGTAATTGTGACTGTAATGCTGATACTGTCTCAGGCATTTGTTTAGGTTAAATGTTCTTCAGATTTGATCTAATAAATACCTTTTAGATGGTATTTGTTTCATCATGATTAGGCTCTTCATTGCCTTCAGGATAGGATAAAGTCCAAGTTTTTAAATGGTGTTTACAACAGTTTTTC